AAAAAAAACGAATAGAACCAATACAAGTTAAGAACTGTTCTGTTTGTTCATATTTAAGCTATATAGGCATGTCAGGCGAAACGTCGTGTCTAACGCTAAGTATAAACGAAGCAGTCGACAGGCGCATGATGCCATCCCAGAAGGGTGTTTAAAGATCGAGTTTGCTGCTGGATCTCGGAATGGTGGAAAAAGTTAAGCTTTTCATCTCTTCATTTTTTGAATAGTTTGCACCATATTAGTCTGGTGAAATAAATAAACAATAAGAAGCAACATAATAGTTAGTAAATAAATTAAGCGGTCATAATGAACAAGTGAAAATTGCTGTATCACACACCCGTTCAAATATCTCTACATATCTCAATGGAATAGAAAGAAGCGACAGACATTCCTACAAAGTCGACCCTTGCTAAGCCGTCAGCCCTCTCGAAGTGTTACCTACGATGGAGACCGAGTCCCGGGTTCTGCCTGTATATGGGGCGCGCTTCGTTGCGCGCGTACGTCGAAACTAGGGCACGCCACAGCCGTCGTATGCGGTGGATGGCTGCTTTCAGACTTCGACGTCCGTCCGTCCATCCGTCCGGCACGTTGCTACGGCGGCCCTAGCCACCTTTCACAACACTGGATCACTGGATCACGTGCCAACAAGTGGCTAGGGCCGTCGTCGCACGGACGCAGCACGCCGGACGGACGGACGGAAGGGCGGATGAGTCGTCTGAAAGCAGCCGATCAGTCCTCGATACTTGAAGGACGTCGCAGTTGTCAGTAGAGCACATGATTTGTGCTTGGTCCACGGCAGTCAGCTCAAACTGAAAATAACACGGACTAATGCGAATCATTCGCTCCACTGACAATTGGTACTACTGTAATGTCACCTCGAGGCCTCACTGAGCTGGCCGCGCGCGACGTATGCGGCGTAACCTAGTATCATCGGCGATAGAATCGGTCCAAATGTCCCAAAATTCTTCTTGACAAAAAAAAACTAATCATTTGGTGCTTGTCAAGAATAGTAAGGTATCATGGCCTAAAACTCCGACACGTTGACGGCTATGAAGTCGGTCGCTCAACATCGTCCATACCCATGTTTATAAGATGGCCAATGGATTCGAGTTGGTGATGCTTTTCAATGATCACCTTCGAAATGAGAATCTGCAAAACCTTCAATCCCTTATCAGATCATAACAAACTTCATTGCGCGTTTTATTCGATAAGGTGTTTTACGGGAACCACAAGTGATTTGTAGTCCTAGTTATATCGGTTATCAACTAACATGCCCTTTGAAGCGATGGAAAAATTATTTAGTTGAGATGGATCTTTATGTCCAACCTGGGCTCGAAGTCTTAAAAAAAGAGAACTAGAAATGATAAAAATAAAAGTCTTCGATTTCGATTTTCATCCTTATTCTCCCCAAAAATACACCTTTCTCCCGACCCTGCCAGGAGTAATATGGTAATAAAGCCGGAAACTCTACAAGTTGAAGGAATAGCAGCATCGGGAATGGAACTGGTCGCTTCGCTTCACTCAACCCTGGATGGCCCATTGGTCTGCAAATAGGCGATTCTGTCCAAAGTTCATCTCTCTTGCAACAGCAACGACCATAAATTACCACCATAAAATCGAGCAGTAACGTTCCCGATAAGATGATTTTTTTAATCCATTCTTGAAATACAATAGGCCACACCCAAAGTGAAAAGTCCGCTTATAATTATTCTAAGGAGTCCAATTTTTTAGCAAATATATATTAGGTGTGTGCATTAATCTCCGCCCCCGAATTGGAAGGGTCGTTGAGCGAACCATGTTAGAGATTTATCGGTGGAAGCTGTCATATTCTGTAAGATAGGGTATTGGCTACCTACTTGAGGGCAGATAGATCAGTTTTTTCTGAATGTACTAGACGACTAAGACACTGAACGATTCTTTGTGAAGGCGTTTGCTACCTGATACAGCGATGACATGGCTCAGAAAAGAAGAATTCACTAGAGCCAAATTCAGTGGGAATTTCGGTGTAAAGTCTTGCCCTCTTCATTCAGTTCCGATACATTTACGAATTAACAGAAAACCTGAAGTCAGTAGTTGGTAGTAATGTATCCAAGGGACAGCTCAGCTGCATAAGAGGAAAGTACAATGCCAACTAAAACATAGTTGAGAACGAACCTTTCAGTTCCATTTTTTTCTGATCAAGCAGGAGATATCTTACACAGATTGCTCACATTACCTCATTCTGGTAAGCGTTGAGATGTTCAAATAGAGTAGCTCGAGAGCCTCAGATCGAAATTTACGAGGATTGAATATTTTTTGCTCGAAAAAATTTGAACGACGAATCTTTCAGGACCAGCGGGTGTGAAAGAGAAACCGGAAATCAAAACGCTCAACAGCGGGACACAGATAATCGACGCTTCTTTCGAAAGGAATAGAAAACTGAAGCAATAGTAAGTGGCCGTAATCTATTCAAGTAATTGAATGGTACATTCTTCCCATTGTTCTCCAGTTCGCTAGAGTGTTCCGTATGATCTAATCACAAAATGAGGGGGGACGGTCAAGTCGTGCGTCCGAGGGTGCGGGCGGCAAATTGCGCGGCTAAACGCATACCTATTCTGACGACTTTAGCGCCTATTATTTGGGCCCAATTTTGAAGTACAGTAGAATAGTAGGATCAGCTGACCTTACTAATCTACCCTACTTCAGATTTGGGCCCCAACGATAGGCGCCGGAATCGTCCAAATTTGCCGCGAACTTCGCCGNCCGTATGATCTAATCACAAAATGAGGGGGGACGGTCAAGTCGTGCGTCCGAGGGTGCGGGCGGCAAATTGCGCGGCTAAACCCATACCTATTCTGACGACTTTAGCGCCTATTATTTGGGCCCAATTTTGAAGTACAGTAGAATAGTAGGATCAGCTGACCTTACTAATCTACCCTACTTCAGATTTGGGCCCCAACGATAGGTGCCGGAGTCGTCCAAATTTGCTACGAACTTCGCCGCGCAATTTGCCGCGCGCGCCCTCGGACGCACGACTTGACACACACCCCAAAATGAGATGAGTAGACCTCAAATATACACTGAAGTGGGACAATGCCTATTGAGTGCTACAACCTGTTCAGTTTCTAGTATCTGATTCCAGATAAATACTTTCCTAGACCGATCACTCCTTCCATCCCTCCGGAATCGTACTACCAGACACGTTTGGGAGGACAAAAACACAAATTTGTGCTTCTGCTGGCACCTCGATTCATTGTACGGGTCATACACATTATACGCATCCTAATATTACTAGCTGAGCCGATGTAGTTAGGTACCGATGTCGCGCGCGGCGATCTACTTTCGCGCGCGACGTCCGGAGCAATGTCTTCTGGTGTGCGCACACCTGGCTAAATCGGAAGCTCAACTTATGGTTTTTCATTGAAGAAGAAAATGGCAAGAGGCTTGTTCGGGCAAATTGTGAATGGCCAAATTAGCTTAATTCCTAATTATTCTAAGATTCGTTGGGTGCTGGCACTACGAACTGTATACCTTTACAAGGGATAACATCAAACTCAAGCCTTGCAAAGAAGACGAGAACAAGAGCCACCAAAAATTGAACGAACACTGCCGACATCAAGTTACCTTGATATTCTCATGGACCATCTACACCCGAACTATCTCGCCGTAAGCTGATAAGAAGGCAAAGGACTAGGTTGACACGTTTTAGGGGTGGCACGAACTCCTACTGCAGGCAAACAAGTAGCACAGATAAGCAGTTCCCGGAAATTGTAACCTCATTCACTGATTACAGTCCCACTTCTGGAGCTCATACTTCCTCGAGGATTCTCTGACAATGCCCGGCAACAAATCAGCCCAGCACCCAAAGGTGAGCTCTATTGCCACACAACACATTGCTTT